CAAGATCGGAGTCGTAAGATTCCATAAGGATGTCATTCATTAGTTTAATTTTATATTAATAATAATTAATTAAAAGTAGTTATCTTGAGAGAGGAAACAAAAAGCACGAATTGCAGGATATGCTATTGTTATTAGAGGAAACACAATTCTTGGATTTTACACCTTTCTTTTCTACATTGCCCCCAACCCCACAATCCTCTTTACCTAGATTCCTTTCTTCTAACCTATTAACGAGTTCAAATTGTGAAATTAATTACTGATATTATATTCACTCCTTAAAAATGTTATTTTTCTTCGAACTCATATATAAATGCGGAATGTTTAATGCATCAGATTGTTCCTTTTTTTATTTAGGTCAACTTGAAAATAAACAAGTAATATATGGAGTTAATATCTCAAAAGGTCACTCAACTTTCAGAATTTATCTAGTAAAGTCATTGGACTTTTTTTGTATCATTAAAATCACTAAACTTAGACATTTGTATCATTAAAATCACTAAACTTAGACATTTGTATCATTAAAATCACTAAACTTAGACATTTCTATCAATAAAATCACTCAATCAAATTTATCACTAAAAAAAGTGTTGGCATAGCAAAATAATTATTATTTTATATCATGTAAATATGAATCCCACAAATAAATAAAATTAAAGAAATCTCATTAAGAACTTTTCACTTCCTCTCACAATTATTTTTTTTAAAGAAAAACAACTAAAATGTATGTCTGAAAACGATTTCAAATTTCAAAACTTATTTATCAACAATTTTAAAAATTAATTTATTCAAGCTCAAACAAATCTAACGTTAGCAAACAGTGGAATTACGATGAAAAAGTAAATCTTTACCTATTATATATAGCAAGAAACATCTAAATAAATTACACGTCGAAGAACTTAATTAGTAATAATACTTACCTGTTCTATTTTGACATTTGTTTATTGTTTTTCTTCCTGTTTTGGATTTAATTTGTTGTTTTGTTGAAGTACTTGTACTCATTTTTTTTTATTAAGGAGGCAAAGTAAATATTATGGTATTACAGTAATACCAAATTATGTTTCACTAAGATTTTTTTTTCATTTATTTATTAAATCAAGGCATAAACTATACAACAATATCATAAAAAAAAATATTTGTTTCCGTGATTAAGTCTGTCCGAATTTTTTAAATAAGTTTTCTTTAATTTTATTTATTTGCGGGTCCGTGTTTACCTGATATAAAAATATACAAGTAATTTATTTTGCTATGTCAATATTTTATTTAATAATAAATTTGATTGAGTGATTTTATTGATAGAAATGTCTAAGTTTAGTGATTTTATTGATACAAAACAAAGTTCAATGACTTTGCTAGATAAATTCTCAAAGTTGAGTGACATTTTGAGATATATAGATATCCTAACCGTGAGAGTTATAGTGCAATATCAAATATTAGGATCTTATTATTCTTAGTCAAAGGTTTTCAATTTAAACTCTGTCTTTAAAATCAAACGAAGGTTGAGTGATCAATAATGAGAAATATGTGTATTTAAATAAAAGGGAAATTAAACTACAAATTAGGGATAAGCTATCTGATTAATTCAGTTATTTGCAAGAAGTTTTTCCGCGCTATCTTATATCATGCTTTTTCTTTTTCCAAATCAATTCCTAGTGTTAGTCGATGAAAATGAAAAAAAATCCAAGTACGAATATTCATCGATAATGTTACTTAATATGATATATCCCTTGATCTTTAGTTAGATCTATTTGAGCAAGTAGGGGACATTTTCCTTTTTAGTAAGTTTTACCTAACATAAATTCATATTAGTCGAAATTACAAAAACAAGTATCAAATACAACGACGGAGCTAGAGTTCTAGTAACTTTTACAAATCTAAAAATCCATAAACTTAAAAGAGATCAGCATACAAAAGAAAAAGAGTATTATGGCCTACCAAGAAAGATAAAAATAAAAAACAAAGGGTAAGATAGAAACCTAGCAGATGAGGACCTAGGTTTAATATATTAACCAATAATAATATGCTCCTCTAAAAAGACATTGATGGGAACCTAAATTTTAAAAAAAGAGTTAGGAATTTTCAGAGTAGATTATACAAGCATTCTCTTGATCAGACACAACAGAGAAGAAAACAGAAAAGATAGATGGATGGAAGCACAGTTGACGTAAGTTGCATAATTTCCCCCATGCTTGCACCATCTTATCAACCATATGTATGATGCATCCATCCATCACTTTACAATACAACACCTCCCCACCCCCACCCCCA